CTTCAGGTATATAGGTCATATAATCACCGCGGTGAAGTTAGTTTTAGGTTGGATATTCGACGGACATTCGCGGACCCGCCAGCAGCGTCAGTTTCCCGGACCCGCCAGCAGCGTCAGTTTAACGGGGAGATCTTCTCCGCGAAACGAGGCTTTCACTTAGGGACCATCAACAAATGACTTTTACAATTACACAAGAAAAATGTTCTTTTTAATAAATCGACAGCTTCTCGATCGTGTGAATGTGAAGCAAATTCACTCTAGAGCATACATTTATTGAACACACCTCTTTTTATTGCATTTTAATACTTTAAATACGTTTTATTAATATTTTTGATGGAAACATTTGCATATTTCTTCAATAACTGCTAGGTAGTGTGACATAATGACTCAAAATCAGTGCTAGATCAAATAACAACACTTGCTGCATAGGACACACCTCTTTTTATTGCATTTTAATACTTTAAATATTTTTATATTAATATTTGTATGCGAAAATGAGCATATTGCTTCAATACCTTCCAGGTCATGTGACCTAATCACTCAAAATCAGTGCTGGGTCAAAGAACTACACTGGCTGCATAGGACACACCTCGTTATTCCATTTTAATACTTTAAATATTTTATATTAATACTTTGATGGAAAAATGAGCATATTGCTTCAATACCAAAATATTAATATAAAATATTTAGAGTATTAAAATGGAATAAAAAGAGGTGTGTCCTATGCAGCCAGTGTAGTTCTTTGACCCAGCATTGATTTTGAGTGATTAGGTCACATGACCTGGAAGGTATTGAAGAAATAAGCTCATTTTTCCATCAAAATATTAATATAAAATATTTAGAGTATTAAAATGGAATAGAAAAAGGTGTGTCCTAAGCAGCAAGTGTAGTTCTTTGAGCCAGCATTGCTTTTGAGTGATTAGGTCACATGACCTGGAAGGTATTGAAGAAATAAGCTAATTTTTCCATCAAAATATTAATATAAAATATTTAAAGTATTAAAATGCAATAAAAAGAGGTGTGTTCAATAAATGTATGCTCTAGAGTGAATTTGCTTCACATTCACACGATCGAGAAGCTGTCGATTTATTAAAAAGAACATTTTTCTTGCGTAATTGAAAAGTCATTTGTTGATGGTCCCTAAGTGAAAGCCTCGTTTCGCGCAGAAGATCTCCACGTCGTAATACAGCCAGCAGCAGGGGACACTGATGCTGCTGGCTGGTCCGCGAATGTCCGTCGAATATCCAACCTAAAACTAACTTCACCGCGGTCATATAATCCATAAAAAGTAAATTTAAAGGTACACTTAAAGGGATTTGTATTTTAACGATCATTTAAAAAAACAAAAAAAACATTGAGGTTCCAGTGTAAAATATTGGAGGCATGTAGAAAATCAGAAACAAGTGTAGGCTATGAAAAAAAAATGTTTCCTGCAGCATGGACATTTTGTTTAGTTAAAGTTCAGTATTACAGCTCTGCTGTTCTTATCCTTTATTCATTGGTTGTCTATTGTTTTCATTCCAGATGAGGTTGATCCATTTCTGCAGTGCTTTGCTGCTGCTTGTCTTTATTCCAAGAGGCTGTCATGGAGGAAACATCTTGGTCTTATCCGCTGAGGGTAGCCACTGGATCAACATGGATATTCTACTTGAGGCTTTGCACTCCAGAGGACACAATATAACTGTTGTGCGTTCTAGCAAAAGCTGGTACATCAAGGATGAATCCTCTTATTACAATACTTATACAGTTCAAGTGGAGAGGAGTCTTGATCAGGAGTTCATTACAAAAATGATATTAGACTCCATGAAATTTGAAAGGGGGGCTATTCCCTTGACAAGTTTTCTCAACACGGCCGTAGGAATGATAGGCACGTTTGTGGATGCTCATTCCACCGTGGGTGAATTAGTATCAGCAATGCTAGACGACAAAGAGTTAATGAGAATCCTACAGGACAGCAAGTTTGACCTGGTACTCACCGATCCCTGCTGGGGCCATGGGGTCATTATGGCAAAATATTTAAACCTTCCTTTGGTTTATAATGTTCGTTGGCTAATAGCTGGAGAAGCTCATCTTGCTATTGCTCCTTCACCTTTATCATATGTCCCTATAACAGGATCTGGACACACTGATAAGATGACCTTTCTTCAGAGAGTTAAAAATGTTTTATTCCAACTAGTCAACCTCATACAAAACCAAGTGGTGGTGAAGTTAGTATACCAGAAACTGTGTGACAAATATCTTGGGTCCGATATTGACTTCAACCAGTTAATGCTTGATGCAGACATTTGGCTGATGAGAGTGGACTTTGTGTTTGAGTTTCCTCGTCCCACCATGCCTAATATTGTCTATATTGGAGGGTTCCAGTGCAAACCAGCAAAACCTCTCCCTGAACACCTGGAGGAGTTTGTGCAGAGTTCTGGAGAGCATGGGGTCATCATCATGTCTCTGGGGGCCTTTGTAAGTGAACTTCCCTCTGATATGGCAAATGACATTGCTGCAACTTTTGCTAAATTACCCCAGAAAGTCATCTGGAGATATAAAGGTGACAGACCAGCCACTCTGGGCAACAACACTTTAATAGTAGACTGGATGCCTCAGAATGATCTTTTAGGACATCCCAAGATAAAACTGTTTGTGGCTCACGGAGGAACAAATGGTGTTCAAGAGGCTATTTATCACGGAGTACCAGTTGTGGGTCTGCCCCTGTTTTTCGACCAATTTGACAACCTGCTGCGTCTAAAGGAGAGAGGCGCGGCTAAGATTCTTACCATTCAAACAGTGGACAAAGACAACAACTTTCAGGATGCCATCCAGGAAGTCCTGAATGAGCCCTCCTACAGGTTGAACATGCAGAGACTCTCCAGGCTGCACAGAGATCAGCCAATGAAGCCGCTGGACACCGCCCTCTTCTGGATAGAGTTTGTCATGAGACACAAAGGTGCAGCTCACCTGAGAACAGAGTCCTACAGACTGCCCTGGTATTCCTACCACTCTGTAGATGTGACTTTGTTCCTGGCTGGAGCTGTGCTGCTTGTGCTGTTCACTTTTGTGTTTTTCATCAGGTGTTTGTGCACTAAAATGTGTAAATCTAAAGTGAAACGTGAGTAAACATTCAAGGGATTTGATTCAATTGTGTACATTAAATCAAAGAAATACTTGAATATGCAAAAGGGTTTTGGGATTCATATTATAGACTGATATGAGAGTGTTTGAGTGCACATTCATGGAACATTTGACAGCTGACATGCATTAGCTTTTAGGTATAGGTACATTCATTTAATTAGTTTGTTTATATTCAAGACATGTACTTGCATGAACTTAATGAATGTTTTGACCTTTTTCATATCACTACAAGCATAATACTTGAAATGTACGTAAATATTGTTGTATTATATAAGTCAAAGTATGGAAATATATGGTCTGTATTTGATCTTTGCCCAAGGGCATTTTGAAGGAGTGCTTGTATAGCTACTTAAATTGAAAGATTCACAGGCTTTCAATGTTAAGGTCTGGTCATTCCTAATGCAGCGCTAAAATTGGTTTCTGGCTCATTGATGACATCATCTTTGTACTGTGGCGGTGCATCTGTATTTTCACAGACCTGATGTGGATGAACTTTGTGAGGTCATTGAGATGAGCTTCAGGTGTTTCTGCTTTGTGTTGCTCGACAACAGTTTTCTAATGTGCTCCTTGCAAATATTTGACAATACTGGATCTGAATGGTATGCTGTAACGAACCACACAATAAACATGTTTGTTTACCTTCAAACTGTGTATTTATTGGAGGCACACATCAGCCTCTCAGTGGATTTCAGGGGAGAACATAGTATGCTCTACACCAGGGGTGTCAAACTCAAATACACAGTGGGCCAAAATCAAAAAATCGGTACTAGTCGAGGGCCGGACTGGTTCAATATTTCTTGCAGAACTTATTGAAATGAACTCATTGCACATATTAAACCTGGAACTAACATAGCTTAAATTATTGCCTATAAAAACAACATTAAACATTAAATAATCAGTTGCATTCATTTCTTATGGCTCTATCTGCAGCTTTTCCGGAGTCATTTCTTATGATTACATTTTTCCACAGGCCAACCACAGCTTCAAAAAAACTATTCCCCTCAAAGAAAAAAACAAACATGCCCTGTTGTCTCAAGAAAGAAAGTGCAGAAGGAAACATCCATTAAAACTCAGTGTGCTGCTCTGTGATGCTAGTTCAAGCCAGATACTTGGGTGCAAGTTCATCAATGTTTGGGGTCAGGCTCTGAGCGGAGGAAATCCTCAGGATTGAGTGAAGGTGTGTGTGCAATATACCGGCGGGCCAGATCTAATAGTAATTAGAAATTATTCTGCCGGCTGAAATTAAATCCACCAAGGGCCTGATTTGGCCCCCGGGCCTTGAGTTTGACACATGTGCTCTACACTCTGTTATACCTATTTTTAAGTGTAGTATGTTGGACTTTTCTACTTTTCTTGTTTCCCTAAAAGGTGGAGTCTCTAACTGAAGGATGTGCACAGGTCTATGCAAATGCTATGATTAAAAAGGCGTTATCAGCGCCTGGCTTTTATTATAGATCCAAAGCTCAAGATCATCTAAGGTCAACGTGTTGTCACTGTTTTAAACTTAAAAATACTGAATGAGTTTTATTCATCTATATTAGTTGTACAACTTGTTGATATTGTTTTGTAGTTTTTGTTTATTCTAAGTCTAATATAATGCAGGCAAAATGTATTTTTCCATCCCACCCACATGACCTGCTGAAAGGGTTTTTGATATAAATGTGATAAGGAAATGATCTAAATGCGGATGTGTTGATACCTTTACCAGCCAGCAGGGGGTGAAATTCCACCATTTGCTGCTTTCACAGAGAGATGAGCTATTTTAAAATGTGAGATTTTTCAAAGAACAAGACAAGACTCATCTGAGCATTTTAAGCCACATAACAAATCCATTATTAAAGCATGTGGCTGTAGATTTCTTCTGTTATCCACTTTGTAAGTGAACTTCCCTCTGATATGGCAAATGGGATTGCTGCAACTTTTGCTAAATTACCCCAGAAAGTCATCTGGAGATATAAAGGTGACAGACCAGCCACTCTGGGCAACAACACTTTAATAGTAGACTGGATGCCTCAGAATGACCTTTTAGGACATCCCAAGATAAAACTGTTTGTGGCTCACGGAGGAACAAATGGTGTTCAAGAGGCTATTTATCACGGAGTACCAGTTGTGGGTCTGCCCCTGTTTTTCGACCAATTTGACAACCTGCTGCGTCTAAAGGAGAGAGGCACGGCTAAACTTCTTACCATTCAAACAGTGGACAAAGACAACAACTTGCAGGATGCCATCCAGGAAGTCCTGAATGAGCCCTCCTACAGGTTGAACATGCAGAGACTCTCCAGCCTGCACAGAGATCAGCCAATGAAGCCGCTGGACACCGCCCTCTTCTGGATAGAGTTTGTCATGAGACACAAAGGTGCAGCTCACCTGAGAACAGAGTCCTACAGACTGCCCTGGTATTCCTATCACTCTGTAGATGTGATTTTGTTCCTGGCTGGAGCTGTGCTGCTCGTACTGTTCACTTTTGTGTTTTTCATCAGGTGTTTGTGCACTAAAATGTGTAGATCCAAAATTAAACGTGATTAAGCATTCAATGGATATACATTGTGCACACTGAATATTTTTTTTTTATCAACTTGAAGAGTAGACTGAAGAAAATAATGATTAACACTCAGTGCAGTAAGTGTAATAACTCAGGTACATTTAGGTTGTCCTTTCAAAGTATAGCAATCATATAAAAGACTGAATTGGATCAAAGCATAAGCATATCAATATTGACACTTTATAAATGATATTTAATTGAATTTATATTTTGTAAATGTCCCCTCTGTGTGCGAATAAAGGCATTATGATTCTGATGTGGGGCCTGTTGTCTTTATTAATCACCAAGTAACAGAATTATAATGACCATACTTCTTCTTATTCTGTGTTTGGCTGGTCTAAGAGGTCAGGAGTTGGGTAAGATAAATCTATAAAATCCTTAAGGATGATGAATGGCACTTATTAAATCACAGACTTTGGATTTGTTTAGCCTTATAAACTGATATGCCATCTGAAAGATAAGGTCCTGGATATGTGTCTATAGACACGATAGAATCAAGCATTAACTTCCTTATCATGGTGTTTGCACGCACATTGGCCGTTTGCCTTTTATTCATCCCTTCCCCTCAGAACTGCTCACTTCCTGGGTGCACACGTCTGGACTCGCTCAGGTTGGTTCAGTCTGTTGCCAGATTGAGTAGTTCCCAGCCTGGCTTTTTTCCTGTGTAGAATAACATTACAGACAGCGGTAAGAACAAACACTGTATTCTAAAAATGTTTGAATGTATATTTGCCTTTTTACTGTATTTAAACAATAGCAGAAGCTAAGCAGTCAACGGGAAATTGTGGTGCTCAAATTCCCTCTGAGGATTGTTATCTTGCTTGTGTGTTTTGTGCAGAACGATTTGCTTCATATTATTGTTCACTGTCAGTTTCTCAATGACCCTCTGTTATAGTACTTGCAGATATAAGCTAACCTAAACCGTGTGTGTGTTTGCTTACGTTTGTTTCTAATGGAATCAAATAAGATGCATTGCTACTTAACTGTACTTCCGGTATATAGGTCATATAATCCATAAAAAGTAAATTTAAAGGTACACTTAAAGGGATTTGTATTTTAACGATCATTTAAAAAAACTAAAAAAACATTGAGGTTCCAGTGTAAAATATTGGAGGCATGTAGAAAATCAGAAACAAGTGTAGGCTATGAAAAAAAAATGTTTCCTGCAGCATGGACATTTTGTTTAGTTAAAGTTCAGTATTACAGCTCTGCTGTTCTTATCCTTTATTCATTGGTTGTCTATTGTTTTCATTCCAGATGAGGTTGATCCATTTCTGCAGTGCTTTGCTGCTGCTTGTCTTTATTCCAAGAGGCTGTCATGGAGGAAACATCTTGGTCTTACCCGCTGAGGGTAGCCACTGGATCAACATGGATATTCTACTTGAGGCTTTGCACTCCAGAGGACACAATATAACTGTTGTGCGTTCTAGCAAAAGCTGGTACATCAAGGATGAATCCTCATATTACAATACTTATACAGTTCAAGTGGAGAGGAGTCTTGATCAGGAGTTCATTACAAAAATGATATTAGACTCCATGAAATTTGAAAGGGGGGCTATTCCCTTGACAAGTTTTCTCAACACGGCCGTAGGAATGATAGGCACGTTTGTGGATGCTCATTCCACCGTGGGTGAATTAGTATCAGCAATGCTAGACGACAAAGAGTTAATGAGAATCCTACAGGACAGCAAGTTTGACCTGGTACTCACCGATCCCTGCTGGGGCCATGGGGTCATTATGGCAAAATATTTAAACCTTCCTTTGGTTTATAATGTTCGTTGGCTAATAGCTGGAGAAGCTCATCTTGCTATTGCTCCTTCACCTTTATCATATGTCCCTATAACAGGATCTGGACACACTGATAAGATGACCTTTCTTCAGAGAGTTAAAAATGTTTTATTCCAACTAGTCAACCTCATACAAAACCAAGTGGTGGTGAAGTTAGTATACCAGAAACTGTGTGACAAATATCTTGGGTCCGATATTGACTTCAACCAGTTAATGCTTGATGCAGACATTTGGCTGATGAGAGTGGACTTTGTGTTTGAGTTTCCTCGTCCCACCATGCCTAATATTGTCTATATTGGAGGGTTCCAGTGCAAACCAGCAAAACCTCTCCCTGAACACCTGGAGGAGTTTGTGCAGAGTTCTGGAGAGCATGGGGTCATCATCATGTCTCTGGGGGCCTTTGTAAGTGAACTTCCCTCTGATATGGCAAATGGGATTGCTGCAACTTTTGCTAAATTACCCCAGAAAGTCATCTGGAGATATAAAGGTGACAGACCAGCCACTCTGGGCAACAACACTTTAATAGTAGACTGGATGCCTCAGAATGACCTTTTAGGACATCCCAAGATAAAACTGTTTGTGGCTCACGGAGGAACAAATGGTGTTCAAGAGGCTATTTATCACGGAGTACCAGTTGTGGGTCTGCCCCTGTTTTTCGACCAATTTGACAACCTGCTGCGTCTAAAGGAGAGAGGCGCGGCTAAGATTCTTACCATTCAAACAGTGGACAAAGACAACAACTTTCAGGATGCCATCCAGGAAGTCCTGAATGAGCCCTCCTACAGGTTGAACATGCAGAGACTCTCCAGCCTGCACAGAGATCAGCCAATGAAGCCGCTGGACACCGCCCTCTTCTGGATAGAGTTTGTCATGAGACACAAAGGTGCAGCTCACCTGAGAACAGAGTCCTACAGACTGCCCTGGTATTCCTACCACTCTGTAGATGTGACTTTGTTCCTGGCTGGAGCTGTGCTGCTCGTGCTGTTCACTTTTGTGTTTTTCATCAGGTGTTTGTGCACTAAAATGTGTAAATCTAAAGTGAAACGTGAGTAAGCATTCAAGGGATTTGATTCAATTGTGTACATTAAATCAAAGAAATACTTCAATATGCAAAAGGGTTTTGGGATTCATATTTTAGACTGATATGCGATTGTTTGAGTGCACATTCATGGAACATTTGACAGCTGACATGCATTAGCTTTTAGGTAGGTACATTCATTTAATTAGTTTGTTTATATTCAAGACATGTACTTGCATGAACTTAATGAATGTTTTGACCTTTTTCATATCACTACAAGCATAATACTTGAAATGTACGTAAATATTGTTGTATTATATAAGTCAAAGTATGGAAATATATGGTCTGTATTTGATCTTTGCCCAAGGGCATTTTGAAGGAGTGCTTGTATAGCTACTTAAATTGAAAGATTCACAGGCTTTCAATGTTAAGGTCTGGTCATTCCTAATGCAGCGCTAAAATTGGTTTCTGGCTCATTGATGACATCATCTTTGTACTGTGGCGGTGCATCTGTATTTTCACAGACCTGATGTGGATGAACTTTGTGAGGTCATTGAGATGAGCTTCAGGTGTTTCTGCTTTGTGTTGCTCGACAACAGTTTTCTAATGTGCTCCTTGCAAATATTTGACAATACTGGATCTGAATGGTATGCTGTAACGAACCACACAATAAACATGTTTGTTTACCTTCAAACTGTGTATTTATTGGAGGCACACATCAGCCTCTCAGTGGATTTCAGGGGAGAACATAGTATGCTCTACACCAGGGGTGTCAAACTCAAATACACAGTGGGCCAAAATCAAAAAATCGGTACTAGTCGAGGGCCGGACTGGTTCAATATTTCTTGCAGAACTTATTGAAATGAACTTATTGCACATATTAAACCTGGAACTAACATAGCTTAAATTATTGCCTATAAAAACAACATTAAACATTAAATAATCAGTTGCATTCATTTCTTATGGCTCTATCTGCAGCTTTTCCGGAGTCATTTCTTATGATTACATTTTTCCACAGGCCAACAGCTTCAAAAAAACTATTTCCCTCAAAGAAAAAAACAAACATGCCCTGTTGTCGCAAGAAAAAAAGTGCAGAAGGAAACATCCATTAAACTCAGTGTGCTGCTCTGTGATGCTAGTTCAAGCCAGATACTTGGCATCTCATCTTGGGTGCAAGTTCATCAATGTTTGGGGTCAGACTCTGAGCTGAGAAGATCCTCAGGATTGAGTGAAGGTGTGTGTGCAATATACCGGCGGGCCAGATCTAATAGTAATTAGAAATTATTCTGCCGGCTGAAATTAAATCCACCAAGGGCCTGATTTGGCCCCCGGGCCTTGAGTTTGACACATGTGCTCTACACTCTGTTATACCTATTTTTAAGTGTAGTATGTTGGACTTTTCTACTTTTCTTGTTTCCCTAAAAGGTGGAGTCTCTAACTGAAGGATGTGCACAGGTCTATGCAAATGCTATGATTAAAAAGGCGTTATCAGCGCCTGGCTTTTATTATAGATCCAAAGCTCAAGATCATCTAAGGTCAACGTGTTGTCACTGTTTTAAACTTAAAAATACTGAATGAGTTTTATTCATCTATATTAGTTGTACAACTTGTTGATATTGTTTTGTAGTTTTTGTTTATTCTAAGTCTAATATAATGCAGGCAAAATGTATTTTTCCATCCCACCCACATGACCTGCTGAAAGGGTTTTTGATATAAATGTGATAAGGAAATGATCTAAATGCGGATGTGTTGATACCTTTACCAGCCAGCAGGGGGTGAAATTCCACCATTTGCTGCTTTCACAGAGAGATGAGCTATTTTAAAATGTGAGATTTTTCAAAGAACAAGACAAGACTCATCTGAGCATTTTAAGCCACATAACAAATCCATTATTAAAGCATGTGGCTGTAGATTTCTTCTGTTATCCACTTTGTAAGTGAACTTCCCTCTGATATGGCAAATGGGATTGCTGCAACTTTTGCTAAATTACCCCAGAAAGTCATCTGGAGATATAAAGGTGACAGACCAGCCACTCTGGGCAACAACACTTTAATAGTAGACTGGATGCCTCAGAATGATCTTTTAGGACATCCCAAGATAAAACTGTTTGTGGCTCACGGAGGAACAAATGGTGTTCAAGAGGCTATTTATCACGGAGTACCAGTTGTGGGTCTGCCCCTGTTTTTCGACCAATTTGACAACCTGCTGCGTCTAAAGGAGAGAGGCACGGCTAAACTTCTTACCATTCAAACAGTGGACAAAGACAACAACTTGCAGGATGCCATCCAGGAAGTCCTGAATGAGCCCTCCTACAGGTTGAACATGCAGAGACTCTCCAGGCTGCACAGAGATCAGCCAATGAAGCCGCTGGACACCGCCCTCTTCTGGATAGAGTTTGTCATGAGACACAAAGGTGCAGCTCACCTGAGAACAGAGTCCTACAGACTGCCCTGGTATTCCTATCACTCTGTAGATGTGATTTTGTTCCTGGCTGGAGCTGTGCTGCTCATACTGTTCACTTTTGTGTTTTTCATCAGGTGTTTGTGCACTAAAATGTGTAGATCCAAAATTAAACGTGATTAAGCATTCAATGGATATACATTGTGCACACTGAATACAAAAATGGTATCAACTTGAAGAGTAGACTGAAGAAAATAATGATTAACACTCAGTACAGTAAGTGTAATAACTCAGGTACATTTAGGTTGTCCTTTCAAAGTATAGCAATCAAATAAAAGACTGAATTGGATCAAAGCATAAGCATATCAATATTGACACTTTATAAATTATATTTAATTGAATTTATATTTTGTAAATGTCCCCTCTGTGTGCGAATAAAGGCATTCTGATTCTGATGTGGGGCCTGTTGTCTTTATTCATCACCAAGTAACAGAATTATAATGACCATACTTCTTCTTATTCTGTGTTTGGCTGGTCTAAGAGGTCAGGAGTTGGGTAAGATAAATCTATAAAATCCTTAAGGATGATGAATGGCACTTATTAAATCACAGACTTTGGATTTGTTTAGCCTTATAAACTGATATGCCATCTGAAAGATAAGGTCCTGGATATGTGTCTATAGACACGATTTAATCAATCATTAACTTCCTTATCATGGTGTTTGCACTAGTGTTAATTTCGTCAGCTATTTTTTAATTTAGTTTTAGTTTTAGTCCTGTGTTAAATTTCCTTTTTAGTTTTAGTCATATTTAGTCACCTTCATCCTGTTTTTATTTAGTCAAGTTTTAGTCGACTAAAAGTCTGAGCATTTTAGTCTTATTTTAGTCAAAGAAAACAAATTATTTTAGTCTACTTGTCAATGAAAACTGTTGAGTCTTTTTTAGTCATCAGATTATATAGAACATTTCAGTCAAACTAGTCTAGCCAAAACCAATAATTTGTCATTTTAGTCAAACTTATTTCACAATAAGATTATATCTTGTCCTTATTTGATGAAAAACACAGGTTGAATGATTAAGAATGCGGCTTTGCAGAGAGTATCTGGTCAGGTTTGTGGTGTTTTTACCAGCTGTGTTATGGCCACATTGCTTCCCTTCTGATAAAACAATGCATTCGCTTTTTTTCTCCGCCTCATTGTAGCGAAAATGGGACCAAATATCACATCGTTTCTTTCTCCCAAGCAGTGGTGGCTTTAGACTTTTTCGTTGTCAGTCATTTTGACGGACAGGATCGTGACATTTCCGTCATAATCCATTATTACCCGTCGAGTGCACAATTTATCACTCACTCGCGCTGACGGGGGGGTATTCGGTTAACGCGAGTGCGACCACTGCTCCCAAGCCCTGTTATTGCCATTTTATTTTCTGTTAAATAAGGTTAGTTAGACCATGAGTTAGACCCGAGTCTTCCTGACAGTTCACAGTGTGCCGCTGGCCCGGTGTAATTCAAATGTGCCGCCGCGCTCAGCAGAGACACACAGCTGCTGCCCAGCCGCAGCACCGGAAATGGAACTGCTGGGAGAAAAACTGACTATCAGAGATGTAACGTTATCTTTGATAATATTTCGTCTCCTCATTTTTCGCCAACGAAAGTAAAGAGAGATTTTGGCATAGTTTTTATTTAGTGAACTACATTTTCGTCTCGTCACTTTTCGTCAACGATATTGCATGATGATTTCGTTACAGTTATTGTTTACTGCCGTCGGTGCCGTCTCGTCATCGTCTCGTTTTCGTCATGGAAAAAAAGGTCGTTGACGAACATATTTCGTCATAGTTTTAGTCAACGAAATTAACACTAGTTTGCACGCACATTGGCCGTTTGCCTTTTATTCATCCCTTCCCCTCAGAACTGCTCACTTCCTGGGTGCACACGTCTGGACTCGCTCAGGTTGGTTCAGTCTGGTGCCAGATTGAGTAGTTCCCAGCCTGGCTTTTTTCCTGTGTAGAATAACATTACAGACAGCGGTAAGAACAAACACTGTGTTCTAAAAATGTTTGAATGTATATTTGCCTTTTTACTGTATTTAAACAATAGCAGAAGCTAAGCAGTCAACGGGAAATTGTGGTGCTCAAATTCCCTCTGAGGATTGTTATCTTGCTTGTGTGTTTTGTGCAGAACGATTTGCTTCATATTATTGTTCACTGTCAGTTTCTCAATGACCCTCTGTTATAGTACTTGCAGATATAAGCTAACCTAAACCGTGTGTGTTTGCTCACGTTTGTTTCTAATGGAATCAAATAAAATGCATTGCTACTTAACTGTACTTCCGGTATATAGGTCATATAATCCATAAAAAGTCAATTTAAAGGTACACTTAAAGGGATTTGTATTTTAACGATCATTTAAAAAACCAAAAAAAACATTGAGGTTCCAGTGTAAAATATTGGAGGTATGTAGAAAATCAGAAACAAGTGTAGGCTATGAAAAAAAAAATGTTTCCTGCAGCATGGACATTTTGTTTAGTTAAAGCTCAGTATTACAGCTCTGCTGTTCTTATCCTTTATTCATTGGTTGTCTATTGTTTTCATTCCAGATGAGGTTGATCCATTTTTGCAGTGCTTTGCTGCTGCTTGTCTTTATTCCAAGAGGCTGTCATGGAGGAAACATCTTGGTCTTACCCGTTGAAGGTAGCCACTGGATCAACATGGATATTCTACTTGAGGCTTTGCACTCCAGAGGACACAATATAACTGTTGTGCGTTCTAGCAAAAGCTGGTACATCAAGGATGAATCCTCTTATTACAATACTTATACAGTTCAAGTGGAGAGGAGTCTTGATCAGGAGTTCATTACAAAAATGATATTTGACTCCATAAAATTTGAAAGGGGGGCTATTCCCTTGACAAGTTTTCTCAACACGGCCGTAGGAATGATAGGCACGTTTGTGGATGCTCATTCCACCGTGGGTGAATTAGTATCAGCAATGCTAGACGACAAAGAGTTAATGAGAATCCTACAGGACAGCAAGTTTGACCTGGTACTCACCGATCCCTGCTGGGGCCATGGGGTCATTTTGGCCAAATATTTAAACCTTCCTTTGGTTTATAATGTTCGTTGGCTAATAGCTGGAGAAGCTCATCTTGCTATTGCTCCTTCACCTTTATCATATGTCCCTATAACAGGATCTGGACACACTGATAAGATGACCTTTCTTCAGAGAGTTACAAATGTTTTATTGCAACTAATCAACCTCATACAAAATCAAGTGGTGGTGAAGCTAGTATACCAGAAACTGTGTGACAAATATTTTGGGTCTGATATTGACTTCAACCAGTTAATGCTTGATGCAGACATTTGGCTGATGAGAGTGGACTTTGTGTTTGAGTTTCCTCGTCCCACCATGCCTAATGTTGTCTATATTGGAGGGTTCCAGTGCAAACCAGCAACACCTCTCCCTGAGCACCTGGAGGAGTTTGTGCAGAGTTCTGGAGAGCATGGGGTCATCATCATGTCTCTGGGGACCTTTGTAAGTGAACTTCCCTCTGATATGGCAAATGAGATTGCTGCAACGTTTGCTAAATTACCCCAGAAAGTCATCTGGAGATATAAAGGTGACAGACCAGCCACTCTGGGCAACAACACTTTAATAGTAGATTGGATGCCTCAGAATGACCTTTTAGGACATCCCAAGATAAAACTGTTTGTGGCTCACGGAGGAACAAATGGTGTTCAAGAGGCTATTTATCACGGAGTACCAGTTGTGGGTCTGCCCCTGTTTTTCGACCAATTTGACAACCTGCTGCGTCTAAAGGAGAGAGGCGCGGCTAAACTTCTTACCATTCAAACAGTGGACAAAGACAACAACTTTCAGGATGCCATCCAGGAAGTCCTGAATGAGCCCTCCTACAGGTTGAACATGCAGAGACTCTCCAGCCTGCACAGAGATCAGCCAATGAAGCCGCTGGACACCGCCCTCTTCTGGATAGAGTTTGTCATGAGACACAAAGGTGCAGCTCACCTGAGAACAGAGTCCTACAGACTGCCCTGGTATTCCTACCACTCTGTAGATGTGATTTTTTTCCTGGCTGGAGCTGTGCTGCTCATACTGTTCACTTTTGTGTTTTTCATCAGGTGTTTGTGCACTAAAATGTGTAAATCTAAAGTGAAACGTGAGTAAACATTCAAGGGATTTGATTCAATTGTGTACATTAAATCAAAGAAATACTTCAATATGCAAAAGGGTTTTGGGATTCATATTATAGACTGATATGAGAGTGTTTGAGTGCACATTCATGGAACATTTGACAGCTGACATGCATTAGCTTTTAGGTATAGGTACATTCATTTAATTAGTTTGTTTATATTCAAGACATGTACTTGCATGAACTTAATGAATGTTTTGACCTTTTTCATATCACTACAAGCATAATACTTGAAATGTACGTAAATATTGTTGTATTATATAAGTCAAAGTATGGAAATATATGGTCTGTATTTGATCTTTGCCCAAGGGCATTTTGAAGGAGTGCTTGTATAGCTACTTAAATTGAAAGATTCACAGGCTTTCAATGTTAAGGTCTGGTCATTCCTAATGCAGCGCTAAAATTGGTTTCTGGCTCATTGATGACATCATCTTTGTACTGTGGCGGTGCATCTGTATTTTCACAGACCTGATGTGGATGAACTTTGTGAGGTCATTGAGATGAGCTTCAGGTGTTTCTGCTTTGTGTTGCTCGACAACAGTTTTCTAATGTGCTCCTTGCAAATATTTGACAATACTGGATCTGAATGGTATGCTGTAACGAACCACACAATAAACATGTTTGTTTACCTTCAAACTGTGTATTTATTGGAGGCACACATCAGCCTCTCAGTGGATTTCAGGGGAGAACATAGTATGCTCTACACCAGGGGTGTCAAACTCAAATACACAGTGGGCCAAAATCAAAAAATCGGTACTAGTCGAGGGCCGGACTGGTTCAATATTTCTTGCAGAACTTATTGAAATGAACTCATTGCACATATTAAACCTGGAACTAACATAGCTTAAATTATTGCCTATAAAAACAACATTAAACATTAAATAATCAGTTGCATTCATTTCTTATGGCTCTATCTGCAGCTTTTCCGGAGTCATTTCTTATGATTACATTTTTCCACAGGCCAACCACAGCTTCAAAAAAACTATTCCCCTCAAAGAAAAAAACAAACATGCCCTGTTGTCTCAAGAAAGAAAGTGCAGAAGGAAACATCCATTAAAACTCAGTGTGCTGCTCTGTGATGCTAGTTCAAGCCAGATACTTGGGTGCAAGTTCATCAATGTTTGGGGTCAGGCTCTGAGCGGAGGAAATCCTCAGGATTGAGTGAAGGTGTGTGTGCAATATACCGGCGGGCCAGATCTAATAGTAATTAGAAATTATTCTGCCGGCTGAAATTAAATCCACCAAGGGCCTGATTTGGCCCCCGGGCCTTGAGTTTGACACATGTGCTCTACACTCTGTTATACCTATTTTTAAGTGTAGTATGTTGGACTTTTCTACTTTTCTTGTTTCCCTAAAAGGTGGAGTCTCTAACTGAAGGATGTGCACAGGTCTATGCAAATGCTATGATTAAAAAGGCGTTATCAGCGCCTGGCTTTTATTATAGATCCAAAGCTCAAGATCATCTAAGGTCAACGTGTTGTCACTGTTTTAAACTTAAAAATACTGAATGAGTTTTATTCATCTATATTAGTTGTACAACTTGTTGATATTGTTTTGTAGTTTTTGTTTATTCTAAGTCTAATATAATGCAGGCAAAATGTATTTTTCCATCCCACCCACATGACCTGCTGAAAGGGTTTTTGATATAAATGTGATAAGGAAATGATCTAAATGCGGATGTGTTGATACCTTTACCAGCCAGCAGGGGGTGAAATTCCACCATTTGCTGCTTTCACAGAGAGATGAGCTATTTTAAAATGTGAGATTTTTCAAAGAACAAGACAAGACTCATCTGAGCATTTTAAGCCACATAACAAATCCATTATTAAAGCATGTGGCTGTAGATTTCTTCTGTTATCCACTTTGTAAGTGAACTTCCCTCTGATATGGCAAATGGGATTGCTGCAACTTTTGCTAAATTACCCCAGAAAGTCATCTGGAGATATAAAGGTGACAGACCAGCCACTCTGGGCAACAACACTTTAATAGTAGACTGGATGCCTCAGAATGACCTTTTAGGACATCCCAAGATAAAACTGTTTGTGGCTCACGGAGGAACAAATGGTGTCCAAGAGGCTATTTATCACGGAGTACCAGTTGTGGGTCTGCCCCTGTTTTTCGACCAATTTGACAACCTGCTGCGTCTAAAGGAGAGAGGCACGGCTAAACTTCTTACCATTCAAACAGTGGACTAAAGACAACAACTTTCAGGATGCCATCCAGGAAGTCCTGAATGAGCCCTCCTACAGGTTGAACATGCAGAGACTCTCCAGGCTGCACAGAGATCAGCCAATGAAGCCGCTGGACACCGCCCTCTTCTGGATAGAGTTTGTCATGAGACACAAAGGTGCAGCTCACCTGAGAACAGAGTCCTACAGACTGCCCTGGTATTCCTACCACTCTGTAGATGTGACTTTGTTCCTGGCTGGAGCTGTGCTGCTTGTGCTGTTCACTTTTGTGTTTTTCATCAGGTGTTTGTGCACTAAAATGTGTAAATCTAAAGTGAAACGTGAGTAAACATTCAAGGGATTTGATTCAATTGTGTACATTAAATCAAAGAAATACTTGAATATGCAAAAGGGTTTTGGGATTCATATTATAGACTGATATGAGATTGTTTGAGTGCACATTCATGGAACATTTGACAGCTGACATGCATTAGCTTTTAGGTATAGGTACATTCATTTAATTAGTTTGTTTATATTCAAGACATGTACTTGCATGAACTTAATGAATGTTTTGACCTTTTTCATATCACTACAAGCATAATACTTGAAATGTACGTAAATATTGTTGTATTATATAAGTCAAAGTATGGAAATATATGGTCTGTATTTGATCTTTGCCCAAGGGCATTTTGAAGGAGTGCTTGTATAGCTACTTAAATTGAAAGATTCACAGGCTTTCAATGTTAAGGTCTGGTCATTCCTAATGCAGCGCTAAAATTGGTTTCTGGCTCATTGATGACATCATCTTTGTACTGTGGCGGTGCATCTGTATTTTCACAGACCTGATGTGGATGAACTTTGTGAGGTCATTGAGATGAGCTTCAGGTGTTTCTGCTTTGTGTTGCTCGACAACAGTTTTCTAATGTGCTCCTTGCAAATATTTGACAATACTGGATCTGAATGGTATGCTGTAACGAACCACACAATAAACATGTTTGTTTACCTTCAAACTGTGTATTTATTGGAGGCACACATCAGCCTCTCAGTGGATTTCAGGGGAGAACATAGTATGCTCTACACCAGGGGTGTCAAACTCAAATACACAGTGGGCCAAAATCAAAAAATCGGTACTAGTCGAGGGCCGGACTGGTTCAATATTTCTTGCAGAACTTATTGAAATGAACTTATTGCACATATTAAACCTGGAACTAACATAGCTTAAATTATTGCCTATAAAAACAACATTAAACATTAAATAATCAGTTGCATTCATTTCTTATGGCTCTATCTGCAGCTTTTCCGGAGTCATTTCTTATGATTACATTTTTCCACAGGCCAACAGCTTCAAAAAAACTATTTCCCTCAAAGAAAAAAACAAACATGCCCTGTTGTCGCAAGAAAAAAAGTGCAGAAGGAAACATCCATTAAACTCAGTGTGCTGCTCTGTGATGCTAGTTCAAGCCAGATACTTGGCATCTCATCTTGGGTGCAAGTTCATCAATGTTTGGGGTCAGACTCTGAGCTGAGAAGATCCTCAGGATTGAGTGAAGGTGTGTGTGCAATATACCGGCGGGCCAGATCTAATAGTAATTAGAAATTATTCTGCCGGCTGAAATTAAATCCACCAAGGGCCTGATTTGGCCCCCGGGCCTTGAGTTTGACACATGTGCTCTACACTCTGTTATACCTATTTTTAAGTGTAGTATGTTGGACTTTTCTACTTTTCTTGTTTCCCTAAAAGGTGGAGTCTCTAACTGAAGGATGTGCACAGGTCTATGCAAATGCTATGATTAAAAAGGCGTTATCAGCGCCTGGCTTTTATTATAGATCCAAAGCTCAAGATCATCTAAGGTCAACGTGTTGTCACTGTTTTAAACTTAAAAATACTGAATGAGTTTTATTCATCTATATTAGTTGTACAACTTGTTGATATTGTTTTGTAGTTTTTGTTTATTCTAAGTCTAATATAATGCAGGCAAAATGTATTTTTCCATCCCACCCACATGACCTGCTGAAAGGGTTTTTGATATAAATGTGATAAGGAAATGATCTAAATGCGGATGTGTTGATACCTTTACCAGCCAGCAGGGGGTGAAATTCCACCATTTGCTGCTTTCACAGAGAGATGAGCTATTTTAAAATGTGAGATTTTTCAAAGAACAAGACAAGACTCATCTGAGCATTTTAAGCCACATAACAAATCCATTATTAAAGCATGTGGCTGTAGATTTCTTCTGTTATCCACTTTGTAAGTGAACTTCCCTCTGATATGGCAAATGGGATTGCTGCAACTTTTGCTAAATTACCCCAGAAAGTCATCTGGAGATATAAAGGTGACAGACCAGCCACTCTGGGCAACAACACTTTAATAGTAGACTGGATGCCTCAGAATGATCTTTTAGGACATCCCAAGATAAAACTGTTTGTGGCTCACGGAGGAACAAATGGTGTTCAAGAGGCTATTTATCACGGAGTACCAGTTGTGGGTCTGCCCCTGTTTTTCGACCAATTTGACAACCTGCTGCGTCTAAAGGAGAGAGGCACGGCTAAACTTCTTACCATTCAAACAGTGGACAAAGACAACAACTTGCAGGATGCCATCCAGGAAGTCCTGAATGAGCCCTCCTACAGGTTGAACATGCAGAGACTCTCCAGGCTGCACAGAGATCAGCCAATGAAGCCGCTGGACACCGCCCTCTTCTGGATAGAGTTTGTCATGAGACACAAAGGTGCAGCTCACCTGAGAACAGAGTCCTACAGACTGCCCTGGTATTCCTATCACTCTGTAGATGTGATTTTGTTCCTGGCTGGAGCTGTGCTGCTCGTACTGTTCACTTTTGTGTTTTTCATCAGGTGTTTGTGCACTAAAATGTGTAGATCCAAAATTAAACGTGATTAAGCATTCAATGGATATACATTGTGCACACTGAATACAAAAATGGTATCAACTTGAAGAGTAGACTGAAGAAAATAATGATTAACACTCAGTACAGTAAGTGTAATAACTCAGGTACATTTAGGTTGTCCTTTCAAAGTATAGCAATCAAATAAAAGACTGAATTGGATCAAAGCATAAGCATATCAATATTGACACTTTATAAATTATATTTAATTGAATTTATATTTTGTAAATGTCCCCTCTGTGTGCGAATAAAGGCATTCTGATTCTGATGTGGGGCCTGTTGTCTTTATTCATCACCAAGTAACAGAATTATAATGACCATACTTCTTCTTATTCTGTGTTTGGCTGGTCTAAGAGGTCAGGAGTTGGGTAAGATAAATCTATAAAATCCTTAAGGATGATGAATGGCACTTATTAAATCACAGACTTTGGATTTGTTTAGCCTTATAAACTGATATGCCATCTGAAAGATAAGGTCCTGGATATGTGTCTATAGACACGATTTAATCAATCATTAACTTCCTTATCATGGTGTTTGCACTAGTGTTAATTTCGTCAGCTATTTT